ATTAATACTCATATTTGCCACACACTGACTTGCACACATAGGATTTCCTGCTATTGCCCTTTAGCTCGTGGTGGTAACATTTGTTGTTCTTTTGCACATGACCTTCCATCTTGCTTTATTAAGTTTCCAACTATTTTCTAGCACTTCATTTTCATTTGATCCAGTTCCATAGGATAGCCAGATGCCACTTACTATTGACAGCACCTTGAATCAGTAGCAAATTTTGTTTTGTCAAAAATGAAAATAATTACTAAAAAGAATAAACAGGACTCCAGCATGATCTCTGATTAACTTTACTACTATTTCATTTTATCCTTCTGTTTATACATCAACATTATTGGTTAGGTTTATTTGATCACATTTTGACAAAATAGATTTTTCATTAAGCTCCATCATTTCATCAAGCTATTTCTATTCCAGTGTATCAAATGCTTTACTCACAGCTATCTAGAATAAACTCAATGTCTTTTCTTTGTGTAGAAAGACATTTTACTTTTTCTCAGTAAAGTATTGTATTAAGCTAGTACTGACTCCTCTTAATAATTACTGCTAGTATTTTTTCTATTTTTCCTTTCTCTATTCTTCCAGTTAATATTTTTTTTGTAGTTTTCACGTTTTGTCTTCAGAGTTTTGTGGCAAAGTCTAAGTTGTAAAAAAAAAAAAAAAAAAAAAATCATAACTAACCATTACAAACCCTGTAAAAATAAAGGGAATAATTTTCTTCTCATTGTTTCAGAATAAAAAGATTTAATTTCTTTGCATCCAGTAAAAGTCTCAAAAATCACTGATCAAACCTGGAGCTTTGAAGCCAATGATAGGTAAAGTGGCACTACTCAGGTATTTTCCATTATGCCAGATATCCAAATTATTTATTTTAAATTTAATCTATAAATTTAAAAAATCAGATTGTACTTCACCTATACATGTGAATGTAACAGAATACCTATTAATTTAATGAGTATAATAAGTAATAAAGGACCTGAGTATAATGGAAATAAGAAAAATTGAATACCCTGGCCAAGAAATTGAAAAGTTTCATTATACTAAAGGGACCTCTCTCAGCCTTTTGAAATTACATGGAAGTCTTATAAATGTGAGGGAGAGAGGACAAAATTGGATACTTTACACTGTGTGTCTTTGGTGAAAAATGTCCCTCTGTCATATTCTGTCTGAAGACTCCACAGTTACAGACATCCCTTTAAACAAGCTACTATCGTTCATTCTTAGAATGTCTTTGTATGTCTGTTCTGCAGAAGCATCTGTTTGAGTAGCCAAGCTACTTGTACCTTACAGAAAGACTGCTCATTGTGCTGCTTCTCAAAGGATGGTGGTCTATCTGTATGTCCCCTGGAGTCTCCCCAAGGTCTGAATTCCCATTGTCATGAGCAGGACATGTACTGTTTGCCCCACTCAGGCCTGTCACCTTCTTTGTTGTATTCCATCTGATCATTGAGAGAGGCTCAGTAAGATAATCTATGCTAATAGTTACTGATGCTAAAATTTTATGGAACTTTAATTTTCTCCAGTATCAAAGATCTAAACCACACATACATTAAAGTCACAATCCCCTTTTCCTGGAAACCCTCTCTAAAATCTATTTCCAAGGCTGATGAAATCTTTCCTTAAGTAGTTGGACTACAGCGAAAACCCCAAACAACCAACTTAACAAAATGCAGGATGACAGTAGAGAGAGCATTTGGGAGGTTTAGGAATACCTGATGAAGACCTAACATCTTCACAAAGTGTGAAGACTCAGGAAGAGCACTCCTTTTGCAAGGAGACTGAATACGGCATTCCATATAAACTCTCTGTAGTCTGGAAAGCAGGACTCAAAACACATGAAAAAGCTCAAGCAGCTCAAGAGATAGCCACTCTTGAAACAGGCACGTTGTCTAAGATGGTTTGTACACATGCCTTGAGGAAATCCTTCCTAGTTTTTCATATAATTTGGGTATTTCTGGCAACTGTATGTTATGCCTCATGTGAACAATAATTGTTAGATGGTTGAACAAAAGAAAACTCCTTTTAAACAATGAAAGCAATGGATTTATATTCTTTTTACACTGACATGAACAAGATTTGTGGATAGAATACAAATTGTCAAAACATCTTGAACTCCATAAACAATTTAAATAAGAATTGAGCTCAAAGGGGATTGATGTCAGTGCTTCACTATGGAAAGCCTAAATCAGCTATATATTGGTAAAACTGTGTATTAGAGGATTCTGAAGAGAAAGGTGGCCAGGCAGCAGGTACTTATTACTTATAACTGTACTGGCATATGCTTTTCCTCGGTGGGCAGACTTTTCCAACAGCTGCAATTGCAGCAAAGCTTTTTGTTCCTGCATGTGAGGAACATGCAGGAGTAGAGAACTTGCAATTCCTTGGCATTGCCTGCCACTATGTCCATTACCTGTCACTGAACTTTCCATTTCCACTTTTACTGACCTCTGGGTAATACCCAGGCTCTTCTGATTCAAAATAATATATATTTCAATCAAAATGTGTTTACTTTTCTACCACCTCTATTGTGATGAACTTCTCTCCATGTTTGGACTCCATCCTTTCTCTCTGTGTCCTTGCTGTCCTTCTGTGACTCCTGGATACCTCCGTAAAATCTTTCCATTGAATTTGACAGGCCATTCTTTGAAATGACATCAAATCAACACTGACTGTCTAAATTTTTATGACTCTTTTGTTCCTTCACAAACCTATCTGCTCTTTGCTGTGTAAGAATATGAGTCTTCTTTGTATATAACTCTATATATCAACAGCTGGTTTAGTTCCATTCTTGTTCTTCTTTTTCCCCTTCTACAACCTCTATAACAAGGCACTGAACTCTGATATGTTTAACTGAAAAGAATTTTAACCATATTTTCTGGACTTCACCTGTCAATGATTTGAGTATTTTCTTAAGAAAAAAAAGCATTTAGCTATATCTAAACAAAATTATTAGTATTTGATGCATCTCCTTCACTGTGTGTCTTTTTCATGTCAAAGAGTCACTGGGAATAGCAACAGAGGAAATGCTTGAGAAATAACTTTTGATATTTCTCTTTACCTAAAAATGCTGATTCATTGAAAACAAAACATCACAAAAAGCTGACTATTTACAATTTTGTGATAGAACAGATGCAAGTTTCAAAACTTCTTTGCCAGTTTTAGAATATGTGGACTACTACCCAAGATACTAGTTTCTGTCATTCCACAGAAAGAATAATGATGACCGTTCCCAAGACTGTTTCCACACAGAATGTTAACACTAATTTGTTAATTGGTTTCCCAGGCTACTCAGCTTCAACAGCCTAATGAATCATTTGCTCGAAGAATCAAACGCTGGGTTTTGGTGTCTGGAAACTCTTGTGTCCTCAGCTGCTGGGGCAGCCCCACTGGGGGACAGCCTGAGTGATGGCTCCATGGGGAATGCTCCAGGGTTTATGGCCGAGGCACCTGAGGAGCCTTGACATGTATACATTTCACTTGCGAGACCAACTGCTTTCTTAGCGGGATGCCAGTCATCACTAAGTGCCAGAAAGAACTTCTAAAGAGAGAGAAGACAGAAAGGATTTTCCAAAGCCTTGCAATAATGATACACCAGATTCTTGCGAAAGATAAGAGAAATAGTTCTGAGATTTCTATTTTGGAAAAACCTGTAGCTCTTAAGAAATTGTGAGGAGCACATCCAGACTGCCTGTGTCCAGGAACCCAAAGGGGAGCCCAAAGAGGAATCTTGCACAGTGGTCTCAGGAATCAGAGGGGTTGCACTCTACAGTTCTCCATGTCCAAGAGTTTTGGCCTGAGAGCCTGCCTGGGAATCTCAGAGCTAATGGCATAAGCAGACTCTTCTCCAACCCAGCTGCTTCAGGATTAGGTGCAATTTGACATTTCAATTCACCTGTCACATACAGATCAAAGTCAATCCAAAGAGGTATTATTTTCTGTTACAATGAAAATGCTTTCATTACCTGATCGTGTGCCATCCTACAAGTTTTTCTTTGTACATTAATGTTTCCACATTCTTTCTGCATTAATCTTTCCTTCTGCTCTCAGCATGCAGGTTTTTAACACTGCTTATTACAGTTCATAGTATTTTTTAAAATTATATCATACACGTTATTATCAGGAATTTCTTCTCAATATATGACAATAATTTTTGCATATGCATTAAAAAATGAAAATTGTATTCAGCTTTTTCATAGAAGTGTTCTTGGTTTGCTTATAGCTGGTTATTTTGGGTGGCATAACGCTATTTAGGAGAGTTTTATGATGCCTTCTCAGTCTAATACCTAGTACTCACATTGCAGCACATGGAAGAGAGTGGAAAGGCAACTTTTATATATTCTCAGCTAAAGGCCAGCATATAAGCTCTTCTTTTTTTATAACATGTCACTTAACTACATACTTTATATGCCTTGTGAGGCAAAACCCAGATCCATGCCTAGCATAAACAGCCAGGAAATAATATGGAGTAGCCTTAAACTGTTGGTCCTCTATTGAGACCTCGGAAAAAAGCACCCTTGGGGGGAAGAAAGATTTGGTAATACAGCTGTTGATCTCCACTGGGGTAAGATTGATCCTGTCAGGGATCACTTCACTCACTCCATATCTGCACGGGGTTTTTATATGTGTCTGGCTTGAGGGGACCGTGCTCTACGTCTTAATGTTTTCACCGGCAAAAGGCACCCCAGTGTGGGCACCGGTGCGCTGTTGGGACGGGTACCCAGCCCCTCTGAGCGTGTATGCGTGGGAAGAGGGTGTTCTCCGCCACCTCAAAGCGGGCAGCGAGGGGTAAGTGCCGTCCACAGCCCAGGAGCGCCGGGGAGCATCTGCGGGGCGACGGGATGGGCGGGATGGGAGTCCCGGCTGAGGGGAACGACCCGCACCTCTTATGGGGGGAGCGACGGCGGCGGCGGCGAGAGGGAGGAGGAGAAAAGGACGACAAGGAGAGGGGCTGGGGAGACGCGGGCGGGCAGGAGCCGGGGGGCAGAGGAGGAGCTGAGCGCAGAGCGGCGGCGGGCACGGACGCGGCGGGGCCGGGAGCTGGCGGTGGCCGGAGCGGGGGCAGGTGCGGGAGCCGCCCACCGCCGCTGCCCGCGGGGCGGGGGCGCCCCGGCAGAGCCCCCCGGGCCCTATGGTGCCGCGGCAGGACCCGCACCCCGCTCGCCGCCTTCGGACGGGCCCCGCGGAGCGGCGCGGGGTAGCGCAGCCCGCCGGCCCCGGGAATCGGCGGGCATGAGGAACCTGCCGATCCTCCTCCTCTCGCTCTGCTGGAGCCTGGGGCGGGTAAGTCTCCTGCGCGCACGCGGCACAGGGTAAAACTCACCCCCTCCAGACCTACGGCTGTTCCCCGAGGTGCCCGTGTGAAGCCCCCCGCGCCGGCGGTGTCCCGCAGCTCCCCGGGGCGGGGGCTCGGCGGCAGCCGCGGCAGGTGCGGCTCTAGGACATCGGTGCCTCCCGCCACTCGCCCTCACCGGGGGTCCCTGGGCGGGGATGTCGAGGGGAGCGGGTCCACAGCCCCCGCCGGGATCCTCGGGCGCTCCCTCTCCGCGCTCCCGGGGCGGGCTCCGTGCCCGCACCCGCAGCGGCGGTGCCGCCCCGCACCCCCGGGCCCTCCGCAGGGCCGGGACGGCTCCGCCCCGGCCCGGTCCCCATCCTCGTGGAGCGGGCATTTGTTCCCCGCAGTTTTCCCCGTGGCCGGTGGGCATCAATAGTTTGCGAAGAGTTTTCACGGAGCGCTGCCCTGGGGCGGTCCAGAGGGCCGCTGGCGGTCATCGTGTGGGGAAAACCCCGGCGGCCGGATTGAGACCTACAAAGCATTCAGAATATTGCAGCCTTCTTTAGGGTGGCTGCTTTTAGCATCTTTATATTTTCAAGAGTTTCTTAAAAAGTTTGTAAAAGTCAGTTACGTTGGTGGAAACATGATATACAAAAACCCCACCAACTAACCAACCAAAAATCTGCCCTCTAAATCTTTCCAAAGATTGTTACTGTATAACACCAAAAGTCAGGAAACCACGCTGAAGGTGAGTGTAAGCTGCTTGTCAGAGGAAATGTTTATCCATCAAAACTACTGGTCTGGATGCCTTAGAAATTGTTAAGCTGCTTAAAATGCAGAGAGACTCCTCAGCTGGATTTCCAGCTCAATGTGTACCTTTACACTGCGCAGCACACACGGTTCTGTATTCATTGGTGAGAAAGGATAAGCTACTCTTGGTTAAGCAGAGGGAAAGATGGACGAGCACTAGTCCTGAGAGGTGGTGAGCACCCTCAAAATGCATTTTGGGGTTCTTGATGTGTTTCAGGAAGTGATCAGAGCCACATAGTCTTGAACTGTAAATCTCTTTAGCTTTGTGAAGCTGAACAAAACAGGTGTCTTAGAACACCGTGTAGTACAGTTTGACATGCATCCCAGCTTTGAAAAGTAATGTTGTGTTACCTTCAGCTACCAGCAAATTTATGATTTCAAAGTAACCTTCGCTATTACGTCACTGATACTGGAAAACTTGCAGTTATTTAAGAAGTACAAGAGTTGTTTATGCTGCTGGTTTCTTAACTGCTGTAGCTGCTTTGATTTATCCCTTATTTAACATTTCTATTTACGGGAACCTTCTTTTCCAAGACCCAGTAATTATAATACTTTTTGATGAGAAGCAAACCTACTGTTGGTTACTGAATGTTTGCAATTGGAAAAAGAAAAAATAAACCCAAAATATGTTATGTGAAATGAAAATGCTATTAAAAACATTATGTATACATGGGACTTTTATTTTGCATAGGAGCTATCTGTAAAGCAGATAATACATAACAAAAGGTAGATATTTTCAGTATAATGCTGAACTTTCTATGACAAGTTCTAGACATTCTAATTTATGTTAAATATCTGTCTTTAAAAAGAAAAACTCCGCACTGAAAACATATAATTTAAATAGTCAACACAGAGAAAAGACAGGGAAAAGAACGTAAGATTCCGATGTTGTAGATGGTGAAATGAGATATTTGAAGAAGAGACAGATTTTTGTGAGTTTTAACAACAGCTCTTGCTGTTATGCTTATGGCTATTACACAGTATTTTTAAAAGCTGTGAAAGTGGCCGGTCCACAAAGAGCCTACAGAATCACCAGGTTCTCAGTCCTAGCTTTGGGTCCAAGGTTCTGGGTCCATAATCGCAGCTTAATTAAGTATTGTCACTTGAAAAAAATTACTGTGTAATGCATCAGAGATTGTTACCAGATTCTGTTATTAAATATCTCCTAAAAAAAGTGAGAGAAAAGAGAAAGAAACTTGGAAGCAGAACACCCTTTTCGTGGTAACTACAAGTGTGAGGATGAGTAAAGTACAGCATATTTCCATTCTATTTATTTAGGATGTGATTTCATTTGAGTTAATCAAACTGTCCCATTAGCTCCAGTGATGTTTCCAACTTTCCCATTTGTCAGCTACTACAGTAGTTTCTTCCATGCACTCTCTTACGGACTCTGTGTTTCTCTGTGAGGCTCTATCTGTCTCTCTGAATCCAACTGATTCCAGTACATCTTCCCAGGGTCTTGTTTCTCTCCCCAGTGCTGCTACATCTGTCTCTTCCCGTGGACATGTATAACCTTTTCTTAAAATCAAAGAACTGGGGGCAGGGCTTAGAATGAGTAAAGACATTAGTGCTTTAATTTTTAAGTGATGGGGTTTTATTCCTGAATAGTACTTGCTTGAATCAAATAATCATGCTCTGGGACCTCCAGGAGATAAAATACACATGGTGAAAAGGGGAAGAAAAGCAAAATTTACCATGTCAAAGTGAATGCAGTTTCATAAAGTTTCATGTTCTGTGTTTTGTATTAAACTTTCAGCTTCCTAACCTACTACAAAGGGGGAAAAAAAAGCGCAAATGTGTTTACTTTCCTGCTTCAGTTTAGCTCACAGTTTTTCTGGAAAAGGTCTCATGACATAATATTGGGGAATGCACTAGAAAGCTAAATGAAATGCTACACGAAGGAGCCACTGAATGCTAGTAGATAATTTTAACATTTTGCTATGAAAAGTCAATGTGTGAGAAGCTAAAATGGGCACTGAGTATGTTAAAAAATGCCAGCACATGCTTGAGGAAAACCAGTGCCAGTGAAAGTTGTGGCTTTCCTTATTGGTAGTTGCATTCTTCATAAAGCATTTTAATTCACATCTCAAGACAAAATCCATTTGTTAATTCAACACAGGTGAATGGTATCCATCCAGAATGCAGATTTCAGCTGGAGATTCACAAGGAGGAATCAAGGTGCATGGAACTTCTAAAGAGTGCAAAGCCAGTGGACTACAACGGTAAGAGAAGATAAACTGTAATGTACAGATAACTGGAGAATTGAAGATTTTCTCCTTCTACCTTCTTTACTGTTGCAGTTGCGGTTTCCGTACTTGTCTGTACTGTGCCGATGATTTTATGGTTTTCAGAATTCATGTGATTTTGCATTAAAGGTGCACCTGCAGCAAGGGTGTTGTGAGAGACGTGCAAGGGGCTGGTATTTTCTGACTGGCAGGGGCGCTGCAGGCTGGTGATGATGGAACCAGCAGGAAGAACAAAACTGAGGGAAAGTTGAAAGCCTTGGATCCAAGCATCTCTCTCAAGTTATGTTGAAAGTAAAGTACTAGTGGTAGGAATGATCTCTGGGTTTCCCAGGCAGACAATGTTTCAGACAGAAGATCAGATTCACACCCGGAGTACCCTGGAGTTGTGCAAAGGAAAAGCTGTACAGTAGCGTTACATCCAAAAGACAAACTCTCCCTGTTACTTTATTGTTTTTATTTTCTTTCTGCATAGAAAGATAAATATACAGCAAACTGTAATTTAATGGAAGAAAGAAGGAGGAGTAGATGTAGTTAATTTTTTCATTTTTAATTTTTATGGGGTTTTTTAGATTTTATTAGATTCCTTTGTTACATTTTCATGTGAGCAGAACAAAACTTTATGGAAAAATTACATTTTTTTCTTGTAAGTTGAAGCTGATGGTAAAGCTGTTTGTTCAGCAAGCAGAATACAAAGGCAACAGATAAATTCAGTTGGGTGGTACGTAGGTTATTTGTCTTTTTTTGTGTTCAATCTGTTTTAAATGCACTCTGAAGATGATTACAGGACCTCAGAGACCTGCCATCTGCAGTGTCCTTTGAGCATAAACATGAGTCTCAACTTATGATGCTTTCTCCCCCTCTCCTCGATTTAAATGAGTAACTCCCTCAGTGCGTACTCTAATAACAGTTTATATACAATAAAATAATTCAAAGGATCATCAAGAGTTTGTATTTTACCATAACTACTTCTTTATATTAATCCAGATCACTAATTAGAAAAACGCAAAATCTTACTGGAATAATTTATCAAGATTTCTATTTTTTTATTTATGAGTGATGAAGAGAGATGGCTGTTACATAAATAATATTATTGTGCAGCCAGATGGAGAACTAATTAGTAGCCCATCTTAACGAATGGAATCTTGAATTATTAAATTCACTGTTAGCTGTTATAGGGCTTTAAAAGTCAAGCTTTCCTCAAGATACACTTTTGTCATCCAGATGCTAGATGGTTCCAAGGGTATCCTTGTGATGCATACCAGTTTTATTTTGGGTTCCCTAGGGGAAGAAATAAGTTTTCTGTCAATATTTTCTTCCCAGTCTCTTTTCACTGGAAGAGGGGTGCCTCCTGAAGGCAAACTGCTGTGAAAGAACTTCATGTCTTGGAAGGACAGAGTATGTCTGGTGTTGATTCAACTCTGCAGATGTATTTTACTGAATTCCTGTCTGAAACTAAAGGAATATTCCATTCTATTGGTGACTGGAATAAAGTCCCTGTGGTAATGAACCTTTACAACTCTATGTTTAATGTTACAGGAGAATTTATTTTATGATTCATGTTATAGATACCCTTACCAAGAACCTTTAGAGAGTAGCCTATGTTAAATATATGTATTTTTATAGCAAAAATAGCCATTATCTGTGTGTCCTTATTCTCCTAATAAACTCTCTGTAATCATACAAAGATGTAAGGACTATTTTGAACAATAATACTCTGACTGCTGATAAAGAAGAATTACTAATGAAAATTGGCAAGCTGGAACTAGTCCAAGTCCTAGCTCCACATGTAACTTGTAGTACATTTGAAACATAACTCCTTATAATAAATTCAGAACTGTTATTTCACTTTTTCCTGAATGGGAAAGATCACTGTACAGCCTTTGTCATGCTTTGCTAACTTTTTTGTTTGCTACCTGACTTACAAAAGCTGAAACAAAGTCTGAATGTACTGTCTTGAATTTGAAGATAAAGGTTCCCTGAGATTTTCCACCAAAAGCTTGGGCCTCCATTGTCAAAATCAGTGGAATATTTTCATTAACTTATTGGGGACCTGAGAAACCTTCATACTTCTATGTCACATGCTCCAGAATATGGCTGGCATGCACAGCTACTGAGTTTTGGAGGATCCAGATTGTATGGGACAGTCAGCTTCTCCTCTGACCTAGATGGCAATTATGTATTCAATACCTTATCTAATCTTCTCAGCTCCCAGTTAGGGAGACATAAAGGAAATATTTAAAGGCTGTGGAAGTTGGGGTTTTTTTGATGTAATAAAATGATCTTATAGTCATCTTGCCTGAGCTGCATCATGACATGGGCTGAAGAACTTCACTGAGTAATTTCTGTAGTGCACTTAAAATCCCTGACTATGCAGTCTACAAAGGACTTGCTTACTCCATGGCTCAATAAAGCAATAGCATGTTTTACAAGGAAACACTATACTAAACACTAAACACTGTGTAAATATCCTTTGAACAATGCTAAGGATATACTAAACCCACAGGACCCGGTTGGTCTGAGACATCCACACCTCTTGCTTTGCACCCTTTGGGGGATTTTCAGGCATTAGCACATACTTTTCCATTAGTGGACAGCATTACACTCCATTTAGGGAAGAAGTCACTCTCCAAAGATCTGTGGCAGTGCCTTCCTCTCTGTAGTGCTCTCTAGCACATCTAGTTGTTTATTTTATGAAGACTGCATTAGCATCTATCCACATTTGTTTTCTTCTTTCCACCTATAATTTGGCCCCTGAGGTATGGATGAACCTTAGCTGAGAGCCTGGGAGAGGGGTTTTTTTTTGCAAACTTATTTTTGAAGGGTAGATTAATGCATTGTAAACAGTTCATAATAGCTAGAGATTTTGAGGTCCATATGGAAAAAACTAATTTGTTTTTTATCTGCTACCCATGTCTTGTCTTTTTACAAAAAAAATAGAAAGCTCCCAATAAAGTGAATGAAAAGACACAAAAATTGTTCTGCTGCAAATTTCTGTCTTTATTCAGTATTTAGAATTTTTCCTTATAAAATAACTGATTCATTTCTGCTCACCTTTAAATGAGAAATGAAAACTTGCCATCAGAAATGTTAAAACTCAGTCAGTAGGCTTTTTAAGAGGGTTTACAACAAAAAGTTCTAAAAAGATTTCATAATGAAAAAATGAAGTCTAGGGTTTTTTTATTCATCTTGGACTGAGTGGTTGCACAGTTAAATGTGTCTTTTTGGAACTTGCATTCCAAAATGTGTTTTTTGTGAGACCATATGTCAGACAACATTTTTAATTTTAGATATGACGTCTTAACTTTGAGGAAGGGATGTAGAAAAAAAGGAAAATGGCTTTGGAAAGAATTTCATAAACCTCTCAAAGAGAAGCTTCATAACGCAGCTAGTAATGGGAAATTAAAATAGACAAGACTACCAGAATGATGTTATTAGTTATTCATAAATTTAAAGCAAGAGGGACCAATGTTGCTATATAATCCAGTCTCCTGAATTACGCTGTCAGTAGAATTTCACTCAGTGATTCCAGCACTGAGCTCAAGATCTTGTGGATGAAACAGAGCACGTTTTTCTGAAAGCTCTTCAGAACAGTGAGATGAATATTCAAAAGCTGGACCTGCAGCAAGTTGTCCAAAAGATTTTTTATCCAACTAATTTAGGTATTAAGGTTATTTCTCCAGTAAGAAAGGTGCCTATTTTGCATTTACACACACCCAACACACTGCACCCCCACCCATCTGTGTATAACACACACACCTCTGTGTATAACAAGGCCAACCTGACAATCACTCTCTCCTCCATATTAGTAAATAGAAGACTTGACTTATACAGAGCCAGATGAGGCCTTTCTCTTGCCACATGAATAGAAACCTCCTCAAGGTTCCCCTTTCTTTATCCTCCCTCTCTCATCAAGGTCTTGCATCAGGTTTTGTTTGGTTTTGCAGCTATTTTCTCTGCAAAATGAGTCACTATTTCAGCCTGCAGTGTTGCTTACAGTCATCTGAGGTAGCATTTGAAGAAGAATTAAATGGGATAGTGGGATCATGGAACTTCTTTCATGCAGTACCAGTAGCTCTTGGCAGAGCAACTTTGGCTTTCTTGAATCTCTGTGCTGCTGCTTTTCTAGCTGTAGTAGAGACATTGCTACTTTTTGGTTCACACATTTTTTTATGAAGGGAGCTGAAGGGACTGCTTTGGGTGTTTGTCTGCTTTGGCTTTCATTAATTGAAGTGTCATCATTAATGACACCACATGAAACTGAGCATCCTCATGGTGTTGACAATGTCTGGGTTTTGTGTAAGCTGTATTTAATTATTTGAGGGCAGAAAAGAGGGAGAGCTGGTTCATCTTTTGAGGAGGCTGGGTGAGAAAGGTGGGAAAGAACCATGAATGAAAGGAGTTGCCTACTGAAAAATAACCAACAGGAAATAAAATGATGAAGACAAGAAAATGTCCTGATCAGCCTCATTCAAAAATCTCACATAATAAAGGTTACTAAGAGTGACAGTAACTCTTTTGGAAAGAAGAGAAGCAACACTTGTCCGCAATGATTTTGAAGACCTGAAATTTCAACTCCACCCAAAATGTAAATAGAAATTCAGCAGTAGACACTTATAAATGGCATTTGTATTCCAAGGAAAGTGAACAACCATAAGTGGACTTATTGTGTTTTCCAGAAGACTCTGAAAGAAATACTACCCTGTATAGTTTTGCACTTGAGTCCTGATAAAGACAGCTGTGGCCATGGCAGTCCACTCTCCATGACATCCAAAGTTCAAATACCACAAGGAAAAAGTCTTGAGTACCAGAACACTGAAAAATCTCCAGCTTAATACAACAGATAGCAGATGGGTTAGATGTAATACAAACCAACAGAAATATATGGTCCAAGTGCTTTACAGAGACTTTTAATATTTTATGGTGGTGTTTATACACCACTAGAGTGTTTATCAAACTAAAGATTGATATTTATTGGT